ACCACGCACCCCTCGGTTCTGGACCTCTCCTTTTCCCTCCTCCTCCCCATCTTAGCTTCCTCATCCTCCGAGGGTCTTGGGGGCCATGTTCGTCGATCCTCGGTCGTCGATCCTCGGTCGTTGCTGGACCGGGCTGCCGAGTGAAAATTGCCTGGAGTTCCGGCGCTGTTTTCGCGTCCTCGTCGTCGTCGTCGTCGTCGGTCGTGGTGAGATCAATAGTGAGATCGATTGTGAGATCCCTTGCGAGGTCATTAGTGAGATCGATACTGATATCGATTGTGAGATCGATACTGAGACCGAGTGTGAGATCGATTGTGAGATCGATAGTGAGATCGATTGTGGTATCGATAGTGAGATCGATTGTAAGACCGAATGTGGGCTTGTGATATCGATAGTGAGACCGAATGTGAGATCCATTGCGAGATCAGTAGTGAGATCGATTGTGAGATCGATTGTGATTTCCATTGCGAGATCATTAGTGAGGTCGATTGTGATATCGATAGTGAGATCGGTTGTGAGATCGGTACTGAGACCGAATATGCGATCGATTGTGATATCGATACTGAGATCGATAGTAAGACCGAATGTGAGACCGAGTGTGAGATCGATAGTGAGATCGATAGTGAGACCGATCGAGTGAGACGTTGGTTCCTCCCCCCCCGAACCTCCTTATCACCCGAAGGGTGGTCGTATAGGTAATGATGATGATGATGACGATGATGATGATGCTGATGATGATGATGATGACGATGATGATGATGATGATGATGATGATGATGACGATGCAGCGTCGTCGTGGTCGTCGCAGCTGCTTCGGCCCTGAACCCTTGCGTGGCATTCCCGGGCGGGCACTTCATGCAGGCGCTTGCCCAGGCCGCCATCGAGGGTGCGGGGGCGGTGTTTTTCCAAGGTTTACGGGCCGCGTTCTACGAGCGGCTTGTAGGCCAACCTTTGGCACCTCTTGCGGACTACGCCGGCTCTCTGCGGGGTCCGCCCAGGCCGACCTGAGCGGCGGAGGATACTGCGCTCCCGCCGTTGCAGGTGCGGCCTGCGCCACCATCTGCCTGGGGCCGGCGGTGGACCTGAGCAGCGGGGTGACTCCTCTGCTGCTCTCGTCGCTGGTGGCCCTGCTGGTGACGACCGACGCCTGCAGCCTCTGCGGAGGCTGTTGCGTCAGGTCTCTGGTGGCCCGCTGGTGGGGGTCGTCAGGGTTCCCTCGCACACGGGCGGCGATCGCAGCCCCTGGTGGGCTCGGTCGTGGCCCATAGGGTGCCCTAGCCTACGACCCAGGCGCGCAGGTTGAGGAGCGAGCGAGGGCCTTGGTACGAGGTTCGGTTGCTGCGCCCCATCACGGCTGAGCGCGGCTGGCGGCTTGTGCGCCCTCAGCCTACCAACAGCCGTGGCAGACGACGCTTCGGCGTCGGGGGGACTCGCCATCCCCGACCGGCCGCTCTGGCCCAACTTTCACCCGTTCTCCTCCCCGGGGGGGGGGGGGGCGCCGCGGGAGACGGGCCTCGCCCGAGCAGCGCCCTGGAGCCCTTTTGGAACTGGCGTTGCCGCGTCTGCGGGAGTCAGCCCAAAGGCGGCGACGCATCTCCTCCTGGAGACGCCCGGCGACCCTCCTCATCCCGCTGCCCCCGTCGCTCCGGGGGCAGCGGTCATAAGAGGGGCCGTCGGAACCTCGATGCGCGGGATTGCGCGTCGCGGGGAATGGCGGCACGCGTTGGCGCCGCACGGGCAGGAAGGTCGATCTGTTCCGAGGGCGAACCTTACTCGGGCACCGGGGGCGGCGCCGTCTGCGGTCAACCCCATGGCCATGTTCCATTATTTCTCGCGAGCACAGTCCGCCGGGGGCCCGCCCAGCGACGCGCGAGATGCTCACCCGCTTCGCGTGGTCGAGCGCAGAGCGGCGGCGTGCGCCCGAAAACGGGGGTGGAAACCCGATCAGTTGCCAGCGCGCGTTCCTGGGCCAGCTGGCAGGGGGCCGCGGTTGCATGGAAGCCGCTTGGTTCCTGACGGGGCTCGAGGCGCCCCCGGCGCAGGCGACGCGCATCCACGCGGAGAAGGAGGCCCCTTTGCTGCTAATTATTTCCGCTCGCGGAACCCCGCCGGCCGTCGGCGCAGGGCGACCGCAGGAATAAGAGGGCGCTCTTCCGTTCTCGCCTCGATGCCGAGCAAGCGGGGCAGGCGAAGGCCCCGCCTGCAGTCGAGTCGAAGACCCCGCGGGCGGGGAATCGTCTCCGAAAGGCCCCCCAGGAAGGCCAGCGGGGCCCGGCGGGAGGGCCCCGTGCATTTTGCGCGCGGCGGCCGAGGGCAGCGGTCGCGATGAGCAGGCGTTCTCGGCGACGTTGCGACCGCCGAGCGCCTGGGCTGAGCGAAGCCGCGGCCGTGGGGGCGCGCTGTTCAGCGATGCTGCGAGGGGCCCACAGGGAGATGCGCGCTCCGCGGTCGCGGCCCCCTCGTGCCCCGGCGGGGCGCGCGGGCCCTGTTTCGCCCGCCG